AGAAAGTATTAAAAAAAAAAAAGTATGAATAGAGTCATATGACATACAAGGTTCTATAATTTCTAAAAGGAAAATATTAGAGCTTTGGCATTGTATGCAAACTTCAAATTTATACGCTGTAGCTTTTAAACTCAAATCTATACACAGTCTGTTGCTGTCGTTTGACTTCTGTATCGCAAAACCATTCACTCTGGAATATTTTTACACGAACTGACTTCTCTATAACCAGTAAGAGTTGTTCCTGTAAGGCCTCATATCTTTTCAACTCTCTTTTTTTTTTTTGAAGCATAAACTAGAATGGGATTTGCAGCAGAAGGAGGAAGAGATTGCTGAATTGCAGAAAGCTCTAAGTGATATGCAGATCTGCCTCTTCCAGGAACGGGAACATGTTTTACGCCTCTACTCAGAAAATGACCGACTGAGAATCAGGTACTGAGTAGGAGAAGTGAAATGTTGAAGTTACCATTTTAAATCACTCTAGACAAGATAAATTTCTCTACAGTGATTCACTTAGGTTGTATTCCCAGGAAACAGACTCTGAGATGGAGATTTGCGTGCAGGACAATTACTGGGGAGGCTCTCAGGAATAACACCTATGAGCAGATACGGGCAGAGGGAGAATTTGAACTGCAGTGCATTGGTAACAGAAGCCTTAACTAACACCATATGGAGCTCTGAGGCTAGGATGGCCTTTCAGAGGCAAAGGGGTTAGACTTTTGTACCCCCACATTGACCAGTCATTGGATGCAGGCTGCCCCCAGGGAGGGGGTAAAAACTTGGGAGAGGCAGCCCCCTTCAGCCAAAGGCAATACCTGGGAAGGACTCAGCTTCTGGGGAATGGGTGTCTTGATCCCGAAGTGGGCATCTGAGGAGTCCACCATAGCATCTTCTACAGTATATTTCTTGCACTGCTCAGATCCACTTGCTTCGTATGGTTAAGTCACCCTATCTTGGAATAGCTCCTCTGGGATTCTGGTTGATTTCTTGCTGGGGAAACTTAAAAGAAGGTTAGAGAAACTTCTAGAGCTAATAGAGGAATTTACCAAAGTTACAGGGTACAAGATCAGCAAACATTATCAGTTGGGCTTCTATACACCAGCAATGAAAAATCCAAAATGGAAATTAGGGAAACAGTCCCTACAATAGTATCTAAGAGAATAAAATACCTAGGAGTAAATCTAACCAGTGACGTAAAGGACTTGTACAATGAAAATGATAAAACACTGCTGAAAGAGATTAAAAAAGACATAAATAAATGGAAAGATGTTCTATGTTCTTGGGTCGGAAGACTTAATATTGTTAAGATGTCAGTACTACCCAAAGCAATCTATAGATTCAACACAATCCCAATCAAAATTCCAATAGCCTTCTTTACGGAAATGGAAAAAAGAATTCTCAACTTTATGTGAAATGGCATGAGGCCCCAAATAGCTAAAGCAACGTTGAAAGAAAAGAACAAAGTAGAAGGACTCATACTTGCTGCTTTTAAAACATCTCATACAGCTGTAGTAATCCATACAGCCGGGTACTGGTATAACAATAGACACAGAGATCAATGGAATAGAATTGAGAGTCCAGATGTAAACCTACACATCTATGGTCAACTGATTTTTGACAAGTGTACTAAGTCCATTCAATGAGGAAAGAAGAATCTCTTCAATAAATGATGTTGGGAAAACTGGATTTCCACATGCAGAAAAATGAAACAGTATCCATGCCTCACACTATGTACAAAAACAAATTCAAAATGGATTAAGGACCCAAATGTGCAAACTAAAACCATAAATTTCTTAGAAGAAAATGCAAGGACAACACTGTTGGGACTAGCTTTTAACAATGGATTATCAAACATAATAATAAAAGCACAAAGAACAAAAGACTAAATGGGACCTCATAAAAATTAAAAATGTTTGTTCATCAAAAGACTTTACCAAAAAAGTAAAAAGACAAGCTACTAACTGGGAGAATATCATCAGAAACCATACATCTGATAAGAATCTAATAACCAAAATATATCTAAAACTTCGACAACTTACAACAAAAAGACAACCTAATCATAAAATGGGTGAAGGACTTCAATAGACATTTCACCAAAGAGGACATTCAAATGGCCACCAAACACATGAAAAGATGCTCAATATCATTAGCCATCAGAGAGACACAAATCAAAACCACAATGAGATACCATTTCACTCCTGCTAGAATGGCTAAGATAAAAAAAAACAGAAAATAACAAATGTTGTCGAGGATGTGGGGAAATTGGAACCCTCATCCCTGGCTGGTGGGAATGCAAAATGGTACAGCCATTATGGAAAATTGTGGCAGTTCCTCAAAAAGCCAAAAATAGAATTACAGTTGTTGTTGTTAGGTGCCATCGAGTTGGTTCTGACTCATAGTGCTCCTATGAACAACAGGACAAAACTGCCCAGTCTTGCACCATCCTCACAATAGTTGCTATGCTTGAGCCCATTGTTGCAGCCACTCTGTCAGTCCATCTTGTTGATGGTCTTCCTCTTTTTTGATGACCCTCTACTTTACCAAGCATGATGTCCTTCTCCAGGGACAGTCCCTTCTGATAACATCTCCAAAGTACATGAGGTGAAGTCTCGCCATGCTTTTAAGGAACATTCTGGCTGTACTCCTTCCAAGACAGATTTGTTTATTCTTTTGGCAGTTCATGGTATATTCAATATTCTTCACCAACACCATAATTCAAAGGCGTCATATGACCCAGCAATTCCACTCCTAGGTATATGCCCAAAAGACTTGAAAGCAGAAACTTGTACACCAGTGTTCATTTCAGCACTGTTCACAATAGCCAGAAGGTGGAAACAACCTAAATACTCATCAGCAGATAAATGGATAAACAAAATGTGGTACATATGTACAATGGAGTACTACTCAGCTAGTAGAAGAAACAAAGTATTGATACATGCTACAATATTGATGAAACTTGAAGACATTATGCTGGCTGAAATAAGTCAATCACAAAAGGACAAATATTATATGACCTCGCTTATATAAAAAGACAAGAAAAGGCAGAGGTATAGAGACCAAAGTTTATTAGTGGTTACCAGGGATGGGAGAGAGGGAGAAGGGGGGGGTTACCTGTGATGGAAAAATTGCCTTGATTAAGGGTAGGGTGGAGAAGGACATCATGCTTGGTAAAGTACAAGGTCAGCAAAAAAGAGGAAGATCCTTAATGAGACGGATTGACACAGTGGCTGTAACAGTGGGCCCAAGCATAACAATTGTGAGCATGGCACAGGACTGGGCAGTGTTTCATTCTGTGGTGCATAGGGTTCCTGTGAGTTGGAACCAACTTGACGGCATCTAACAACAACAACAAGGGTAGGGTTGCACGTCCAGTTATTCTAATTGATGTCAATAAGTTGTACACCTATAAAAAGTTAAATCGGCAAAAATTGTGTGATAGGTATATTAACAACAATGACAAAAAAAAAAAAAAAAGAGTCGCTGCTGAGACTGCTTATGTACAACCAAAATCCTCGCAGGATTTGGTTCCTTGGTTTGGAGATTTAGGGTCATGATTTCATGGGACATCCCAGTTAATTGGCCTAATAACATGTTTAGTGCTTCTGTTCTACCTCCTAGTTCGTTGTGTAGTACTTGGGGTCTTAAAAGCTTGTAAGCAGCCCGCCATGGTGTGACAGTTGGTCTGTATTTGCCTGGAGCAACAGAGGAAGAAAGAGAGTCAGGAATGGGAGGAGAATATGGAATGTGTGGCTAATTGCCTCCATGAACAACTGCCTCCTTTGCCATGAGACCAGAAGACTGGATGGTGCCCAGCTACCATTACTGAACATTTTGATCAAAGATTCCATAGAAGAATCCTGATCAAAAGGGGGAAAATGCAGATCAGAATTTCAAATCTCATGGACTCCAGACTTTCTAGAGCCATGGAGGGTGGATGAACCCCTGAAACTATTGCCCTGAGATAACCTTTGAAAACTTAAACCAAAAGTACCCCCTGAAGTCTTCTTAAAACCAAACAATAGTTTAGCTAAACTAATAAAAGATATCTGCCTTGAGTATTATGCTCTTTTAAGAACTATCTATATGGGGTCAAATTGACAACAGTAACTCAAAAGATAGGAACCTTAGGGGGCAGTGAGTTTATGTTAATGGGGGAGGAACAACTCAGAAAAGGATGGTGAGAATGGTTGCACAACTCAAGGAATTAATCAGTGTCACTGGATTGTATATGTAGAAGCGGTTGAGTTGGTGTGTATATTCTCAACATCAACAACAAAATAAACTTAAAAAAAAAGGTTAGAGGATGAATCACTGCCTATTCATTGCAACTGACATTGGGGACACAAATGATACTAATCATCTACCTGCTCTACTACCCTTCTAGATTTCCTTTAGCCAGCATCTCTGCTGATCCAGGAGGTTTACCTGGTGGGGTGACCCAAACTCTCATCCCTTTTCAGGCCATGACTCCTGTACTGGGTGCCAAATCTTAAGTAACAGCAGCCCTAAGAGAAAACCCATAGCTGTTAAGTCAATCACCTCCTGAGGATTAGGGTCAATTACCCCTGCCTGGACTGGAGTGCCTCTTCTACCTGCTGATCTCTTAGAACAAGGAGCCTGAAGTGATGGAGTGGCAGCTGGAGCTTGAAGTTATAATGGACTCTTACTGTGTTTCCTGGTGGATGGATTTCTCCTCGGGAACCAGGACCTCTAGACCCACACAGCCTAAAGTTATGGAGAGGGAAACACAAATTCCCCAAGTGATGGTAACGGGAGTCATTCGTCTTTCTACCCTTTGGTCTGTGGACCTATGTATATTATCTTTTGGGGACAGAGTACCATATAACAGTTGTTGACTAAGCGTTATCTACTACATTCTGGAGGATGGGGTCCCATCATCTTTGGATATCATCACCAAGCTGGCATTTCAGCTATACCTTTAAAAGGCTTGTTCCATTGCTTTCAGGCTGATATCTTCTGGGTGGTGTAGTCAGTGATAGGACAAGTGGATCACACAGGCGTATGTCCATTGCTGCACCTCCTTTGCTGTACATTGGGTCTTTTGATCTGATGGAGTGTTTTGTGGGATTCCATGTCAGTGGATCAAACACACTAAGTCTTTGAATAGTGGGGCCAGCTAAGGACAGAAAAAGCAAATGCAGGTCTAGAATATGTGTCAGTCCTAGTCAAAATAAATCGCTGCCTCTTCCATGGTCCATTATAATCAACTTGCCACCAAGTGGCTATTGGTCTCCTTAAAGATGGTACTGTTTCAGACCTCAGAGATATCCTGAATTGAGGCAAAGGAATTGGGCTTTTGTACCCCCTCATTGATCAGGCACTGGATGTAGGCTGTCCCTGAGGAATGGGGGACATAAACTTGGGTGAGGCAGTTCCCTTAGGCTGAGGGCAGGTCTGGAGAGAGGCTCAGCTGTGAGCCAGCAGCAGACAACATTCTGGGCAGATGGGGGAATGAGCCCATCAGTGCTGAAGAGGGGAATCTGGACAGTGCGCCCTAGCATCCAGTACAGTTTCTTTCTAAAACTGGCTAAGAAATTATTTCCTGGTCCTTCTCTATGTACTCCTGAATACAAATACCTGATGTTTTAAAAGTTAGAGCTAAGGTCTAGATAAATCCTATTCAGTTTTAATTTGAGATTACCCTGGTGGTGTAGTAGCTAAGAGCTACAGCTGCTAACCAAAAGGCCAGCAGTTCGAATCCACCAGCCACACCTTGGAAACCCTATGGGGCAGTTCTGCTCTGTCCTATAGGGTCGCTATGAGTCGGAATCGACTCGATGGCAACAGGTTTGGTTTTAGTTCGGTTTTTATTGTTTTAAAAATAAGTAAATCAGTAGGGAGACCCTTTAAGCAGAAAAGGTGGTTATTCTGGACACACAGTAATTTGTACTTACTTTCTATGAGAATTGCAGGGAGGTAGAAGACAAGAAAAAGATTCAAAGTCTCTTGGCTCTTGTGGGAACAGACACTGGAGAAGTGACCTATTTTTATAAGGAGCCTCCCCACAAAGTAAGTAATCTTTGGTATAGCATGGTGAGTATGGTTTTCACAAAATACAGGCTAGGGTCCATAATCAGAACAACTTGGGTACTTGCTAAAGAAGACAGATGGAGATTCAGCCATAATATTGTAGTCTCAAGTTTACTGAGTTTTCAAAGAACTTTCTGTAATTATAGCAAGCATTATAATTTTATTCTTTTCTTTGAAAAACCTTAAAGTAGCATTGTTTACTGCATTTCACCATTTAGAAGCCTAAAGCACAGAGGGGTAGATGTTGTGGCTGGGATAAGAGAGGAAAGCAGGAGCAGACATAGTGTAGGAGCACGTGTCTGTACTTGGGTTTCTTTTTTAATCTTTGTTTATGCTGATTACAAAAGTAATATATGGTCTTTATTAAAAACAAAACACACAGAGTACAGAAATGTATCGTATAAAAGTGGCAGTCTCCCATAATCCTGTACCACAGAATAAATCATTATTACAACTGGGATCACAAGGGGGTTCTGGACAGAGAGGGAGAAAAATTGTAGAACAAAAAATCAAATTCACAAAAAAGACCAGACTTAACTAGTCTGACAGAGACTGGAGGAACCCCTGAGACTATGACCCTAAGACACCCTTCTAAACTGGAAACAAAGCCATTCTCAGAGACCATCTTTCAGCCAAACCATAGATAAGCCAAGCCTGTTGCCATTGAGTCGATTCTGACTTATAATGACCTCATTGGACAGAGGGTCCAAATCACTATGGGGTTTCCAAGGAGCAGCTGGTGGATTCGAACTGCTCGCCTTCTGGTTAGCAGCCGAGCTCTTAACCACTGCGTCACCAGGGCTTCAAACCATAGACAGGCCCATAAAATAAACAATAACACCAGAGTGGAATGTGCTGCTTAGAATAATCAATTGCATGAGATCAAAAGGGCAACATTTGCCCAAAAGCATGGATGAGAAGGCAGGAAGGGATAGAAAATCAGAAAATAGGGAACACAGGGCAGAAGTGGGAAGAGTGCTGACACATCGTGGGGAATGAAGCCAAGGTCATGGAGCACTTTATGTACAAGCTATCAAATGGGAAACTAATTTGCTATGTAAACTTTCACCTAATGCCCAATAAATTTTTTAAAAACTGGGCTATGTTCTGCTGTGTATATTTTCAACAACAACAATATAAAATACGTTATTTTAAAAAAACCATTATTAATAGTTTGTTATATATACTTTCAACTCTTTTTTCCATTCATATATTTCTGTGTATGTGTGTACTATTTTCATTGTTTCACTTTGTAAACAGTGCCTCCATGAGCATCTCTGTACATATATACATATGCATACTTCTGGTTTTTATTAGCTATTTCCTAAAAGTCCTTGTCAGATGTTGCTAAATAGCCCTGCAGTTTTATTTTATTTTATTTTTTTGTTTATATCACCAAGACTAGGTCTTATCCAATTTGTTACTTTGCCTATTTGGCGTCTCATATTCATGACAACCTTATATGATTTTATTAGTTTTAACCAATTTAACTTCTGAATAGTGTTTGAGTTGTGGAACTAAGGCTAACAAGTGAAATATTTATAAGAAGGTCACTTGTTTACATTTTTTTTGCTTCTTCAGGTCACCATTCCCCAAAAGACTATCCAGGCTGTAAACGTACCTGAACAGAATGCATCTTCAACTTTGAAAGCAGGTAGCAAGCATATTATTGTAAATTCTCATTGATTCAGAATTCCAAAGCATGGTGCAAATAATTAGATTTTTTTTTTACCCTACTATACAGTGATAATTAATGTCCATAATGATGGCTCTAGTCGTCTAAGATCCCACTGAGCTTCTTGAATCATCCAAGGAATTAAATTTTGTTCAATGCCATTTTAGTGCTGCTTATTTTGAAAATAATCTTCTCTTCTGAAAATTGGATGATACTTCATAATCAAAATGTTTAGATTTAGTTTTTTTCATTCCTTGCCCTTTCTGATTAAATAAAACTTTACAGAGAAAATAGACACAATTGCAAAGGAAAATTTAATAGTTCATTCTGCAGAAAAAGATGTAATTGTTATCCAGGTGAAATCCTACAGAGTTCCCTTGGAGAGATTCCTGTTTAAAAAATTAAGCACTGTAGTTGGTGTACGCTTTCTTTGTCCTTCTTTTCCTTCTCTTGTAGGTAAGTGGAACCATACTCCTCTGCAAGGCTAATGCTGATACTTGTATAGCAGAAAAAAGCTGAGTAAAGTTTTCTGACTAATTTTCATTTTCTATTATAGATCCTAAAGTAAACAAAAGAAGATCAGCAATGAGAGAGAAGGGAGAAAGTCCTAAGCAATACCAAAGAAACATACAGACACTTATCCTACAGGTAAAGAATTTATCTTGGCAAACCAATACAGTTTCTATCCACAAGTTTAGCTTTGTGCAGCCTAACTTTATTATCATATAATAAGTCTCTCCTTGCATACAGGTTATATCTACACATCATGTGATTAAGAAAAATGACGTTTTTAATTTCTAAGAGCTATTATTTTAAAACCATTGTTCTCTTTTAGACCGTTCTAGAAGTGCTACTCTGAACTTTCAGTTCATTCAGCTTGTATGCTAAGCCCTACCCAACAAAACCATCATAAAGTAAAAATTCCTTTTGTGTTTGGCTTATGGTATACACGGGGAGTTGCAGGAGAAAGCTTGTCTGTGCTGATAGATTGACATTTGGTACAGTACATTTATTTAGTACATCAGTTCTAAAGTCTAGGAAAGTAACGAATCATCCTCTTACCACCTGGTCGTTGTATGTCATTCGAAACGTTCTGCTAGTTGCACTAAAGGTCCTGTCCTTATTGGGACAGTCCATTGATTTAAATGACAGTTTTTACCTTTGGCCAGTATCTATTTGGAGTCATGACAGCCAGACTCAGAGAAGGAAATTACATATTCATTTTACTCTACTTTTTTAAACCAAACACTAAAGAAAAGAGTCATTCTGTTCCTGTGCAATAAACCAAAAAAAACCCCAACCCACTGCCATCGAGTCGATTCCAACTTATAGCAACCCTATAGGACAGAGTAGAACTCCCTTACAGGGTTTCCAGGGAACTGCTGGTGGGTTCGAACTGCCGACCTTTTTGGTTAGCAGCCAAGCTTGTAACCACTGTGCCACGAGGGCTCCTCTGTGCAACTTGGGAGCCTTAAAAGGGAGAGAATCCTAAAAGTCCTAAAAGGGAGACAGTGAAAAGATGGGAATCCTACGGTAGGGAAGAACTGAATTTTCTAGCTTTCTTTGTGTGGTGTAGATGCTGGGCTTATTGGGGACAAAGAGTCTGCTCTAGCGTAGCCTAACTCCATAAGATATTAAATAAAGAAGGCTACAGTTGAGATTTTCTGCTGTTTATTTTGCCACTGTGGTTTGTTTGTTTTTCGTTTTTCTGAAGAAAGTCTCGCTTTTAAAGATTACATCTGCAGGTAAGAAGTAAGTGGAAGCAGGAGTGCATACCTTTCCCCTTGTTGGCCTGTCTAGGTGGAAGCACTGCAGGCTCAGCTGGAAGAACAGACCAAGCTTTCTAGAGAACAAGTTGAAGGACTCATGGAAGATAGACGCATTCGCATTGAGGAAATACAAGTTCAGCACCAGAGAAATCAGGAGAAAATCAAAGAGCTGACCAAAAAGTGAGTGTTCAAGAAAAGCTATACCTAAAAGATATTTTGTTTTTCTGAGTGGCTTAAAGGTTAACGGTCCTTACCCTGAGACCAGAAGAGCTAGGTGGTGCCTGGTCACCACTGCTGACTGTTCTGATTAGGAACACAATAGATGGATCCTGATAGAATGGGAGCAGAATGTGGAACAGAACTCAAATTCTTAAAAAGTCCACATTTACTGGACCGGTCCTGAGATACTCTTTAAATCTGGAACCAAAACTATTCCATGAGATATCTTTTAGCTAAATAACAGATCAGCTCATAAAATAAACAATATCATCCATGAGTACTGTGCACCTTTAAAAAATCATCTATACGAGACCAAACTGTCAATATTTACTCAAAAGCAAAGACAAGAAGGCAAGGGGGCAGGGAAACTAGATTACTGAAAACAGAACAGCCAGAACAGAAATAATGAGAAAGTTGACACACTGTAAAAAATGTAGCCAGTGTCACTGAACAAATTGTATAGAAATTGTTAAGTGGGAACTTAATTTGCTGTGTAAACTTTCACCAAAAACACAATAAAATATAATAATAATAACAATAAAAGTTAACAGTTCTGTACTTCAGCAGCATATTATGATGGAACTGAAAGGGACCTTGAAAAAAATCGTGTTCTTCAGACACCCCTGCCTCTATGTAGGTGAGTGTCCAGGTTTTATCCAAGAGTGCTGTTAATTCTCTTCTTGAAGAGTTGGTGGGTATTCCACATGCTCCTTTTAACCCATTTTAATGTTTTAGCTTGATTCTAGTGGTTACGAAATATTCTTTTATCCACTGATACGTTATGACTTAATGTAGCAGGACCCTTTTGTTTTGTTTGGCCCTTCATGAATATGGAAAAATAAGAATTTACATACCCATACAACAAAAAAGAAAATGCAAACTCCCTACAATCACTGTTTTTGTTTCTTACCTGCCTACCATTCCTCAACTTTCTGTGGTCTGATTTCATCCCCACCGTTTTTGTAAACATGCCCTTTCTAAGGTCATCATTGACTTCTTAATTTCTAAGACCAGTTATCTCTTTTCAGTCCTTATTGTAAGTAGGATCTGTCTGTGTATTTGACACCACTGATCACCCCCTCTTTTAAATTAATCTTCCTTGATTTCTGCACCATCAGTCTTTGTTGGTTCTTCTGCCTGTCTAACCCTCCTCAGCCTTTCCCTTGGTCCTACTGTGCCTTAAAGACATCCTCAGTTGAGTATACTTGAACACTTCAAGTGTACCGTGACTGAAACCAAATTGTTCATCTCCCCAGTAAACGCTCCCCTCCCCCATCTCAAACCTACCACTGTCTTCTCTTTACCATTTCATTTAATGACATCGTGTCTACTCAGTTTCCTAAGGCTGAAATCTCAGGATCATCCTCACCTTCCCACTCTCTCTTATTCCGTAATTCCAAACCTTATCTAGTGTATGCCTGAGAAGCCTCTCAAATCATTCTCTGCCCTCTCATTCTTACTGTATTGGTTTAAGCACTATTCTTTTGTTTAAATTATTGCAGTAATTTGTTTTTCCTACGACTAGTTCATTTGTCTTCTACAGTCTTTCTCACTGCTATGAGTTAGCTGTTCCACCAGGAATTACTAACAGCTTAAAAACATTTGATAGCTCCTCATAAAGTCCTATACCTAGCCTGAATTATTAGAAACTACCTCATCTGGCACCAAATTGACCTTTTCAGCCTCACCTCCTCCCCTGTTGTGTAGTTGACCTTGCGCTTCAGTCAGACAAATAATAACTATTAATTATGGAACACTTGCTGTGTGGTAGGCACCATGCTAAGCACTGTCACCCCTTCTCTGAAGACTTTGCCAGGCAGAATTAAGTTCTTTCTCCTCCACATTCCCAAAATGATAAGGCGCCTCTGTGATGACACTTCATCACTATAATAATTACGTCTCTGTTCCCAGGGTCTTACTATAGCCCTGCCCTGCATGCATAATAACCAAACCAAACCCATTGCCGTCGAGTCGATTCCAACTCATAGCAACCCTATACCACAGAGTAGAACTGCCCCATAGGGTTTCCTGACCTTTTGGTTAGCAGCCGTAGCTCTCAACCACTGCACCACCAGGGATCTGCTCACGTAATAGGCACACAATAAACATTTGTTGAATACTTGATGATCTTTATCAAGTTGCATCTCACTGCCTCTTTTCTGTATTAAACACCTTAAATTAAAAAATATTTTTTCATGTCACATTCTTCATCCCTTTACCATTTTTTTGTTGCCTTCTGAAACTTTTCTAGTGTCTTCACTTCCATTTTAAAGCACAGTGATTAAAATTGGACATGATACTCAAATTAGGATCAATGACCAAAGCAGGATAGAAAATGTTTTCTGGCCCTTGCAGGCTATATTTTAGCGTAGTGTGATATGTTTGTATTTTGCTTGTAGTTCTCCATCTTCATTTTTATTTTTGGCATTTTATACTTAAGCATAGCATCCCGACTTTTCATTGGATTTTGTTTTTAGGGGACCAGTATTCTAAATTCTCACAGTAAATTGTAATTTTATTTCTGTCTTCCAGAATATTAATAACATCCTAATTTAGCACCATCTGCATATTTGAGCACATGGTCTGTACCTTCTATTAGGTAGGTCATCCTAAGGATATTGAATGGCGTAAAATCCAAGGCTATTAACAACTGCCCTTTGGGTATCACTTTCAAACCATTTGTATGTTAACAAGACCATACTTTCCCAGATTGTAATTGAGAACATAATGTAAGACAGAATAAAATAACTCACTGAAAGCAGGAGATATCTTTGTGGTAACTGAATCAGTCTATCCCTCCTTATATATACATGTACACCTGAATAAATACATATATTTATCTGATAACATTTAATCATTTTCCTCTATCTGTGTACTCTTACTCATAAAAAGAACTAAGTGGATCTGATATTACTTGTTCATTGGAAAACTATAGAGATTGCTTCATGGTATGTAATAATCTTGCAAGCAGTTTGATCATTTGATACAGTATTTTTCTAGGTGTTGATGTTAAACGGATGAGTTGCTAACTTCCAGGAGTATTCTTTTTTGAAAATAGAAACATCATTTGTCTATTGCTAAATCTCAAGAAATAATCAGCAGGAATCTATTCAGTGCCTTTTGTATGTCCAGTAGTTGGTACTGTCCTTGACAGTTTAGTAGTAATGGGGCAAAAGTAAATGAAAACTAAGGTATATGCCTTCAGTCAGGTTAGGAAAACATATGTTGACAGTTAAAACATGACATATAAGCAAGTGTTGAATTACGTGGTATTGATTATAACTAATACGAAGTTTCAGAGAATGGAGAGATTAAAATGGGCTGAAGTTGTCAGGATGATTTCATAGAGGATGTTGATCTTGAAAAAAGGGTGGGATGAGATTTGATCTAGGGTAGTTCATACGTGGAGCACAGCGTAAACAAAAGCAAAGCTGTTTGTGACATTTTAGAACTTGTGTTAACCTGCAGACAGCACACCATGATTTCATTCTTCATTGTAACGGTCTGGTTCCTAGGAATAGTCTGTACGTATGCAGGCTGTGTGTGAGTATTCCTGTAGCCCTTTTAATTACACAACCTGAAATTAGCACTTAGTAAAATATCTGTAAAGACCATTCTATGAACCAGTGTGCATGGGTAGATAATGTTACACTTTGTCCAGTAAAGCCTATAAGATTGGCAGTAATCAGATCAGATGTATTTTTTTAAACTGCTAGTAGTATTTTACAGAATGTATATAGTACACAATTTTAAAAGAACCTCTATCTTCCCTTTGTTTGGAATAACTCTCTGTGTTGGACATGTTGAGTAAGCATCTTCACTGGCATTTGTACTTTCCTTCATAGTCTCCATCATACCCAAGAACTGCTCTATGAGAGCACCAAAGATTTTTTGCAACTCAGATTTGAAAACCAACATAAGGAGAAGTCATGGATGCTTGAAAAGGATTGTTTGATGTCAAAGATTAAGCAATGCAGGCTGCAGTGTAAGAAGAAAGAAGATAAAACTGGAAAAGTTTGGCCAGTTGTACACCAGAGTCATCATAACCAAAATGAATATATTAAGGTAGCTTCCTTACACCTTACAGAAATTGTTTATTTTTCTGGAAGAGTTGAAAGAACTCAGAATTCCAAAGAACATAAGAATTGTCATACCAGATCCATCCATTCCAAGAAGGTTTTGTAGCAGCAACCTCAGGCCATAGGTTTCAAAGAGTTGTAGTGTTTGGGGAATTAGAAAATTAGACTACTGATTTATTTATTCAACAAATATTTATTGCACTCTTACTATGTATGGGCTAGGCTTTGAGGCTACAGCAGAAATAAGCAATCAAGGTCTGCCCTCACGGAGTTTACATTTTAATGGGGCAGAAAGAATGTTCCTACAGTAGCAAATAACTGTAAGAAAATTACAGGTTACAAAAAAGTGGTATCAAAGGTATAAACAGGATTATATGAAAAAAAGTAGTTGCTAATATCCAAATTTTAGAAGGGAAGAACAAGGACACTCACTTCAATCTTAGGAGATGATGTTTTTGCCAAGACCTTCTAAAAACAGGTTAGGGGCAGTGTCTGACTTCCTCCAACTCCCACAAGGGGGAAGGAGAGCCAAGATCAACAGCCCAAGGGTGATTCCTGTGAGGTCAGACAAGCCTTGTCTCTCTGCCATCTCTACCAATTCTGACACCAACTGTCCCTCCCACAGCATTCTCTACTGGATGCCTTAATTCATTGCGATGGCCACAGAGAACTCACAGACCATACTTATAATTATGGGGTTTATTAGGGAAGTAACAGTTACAGTTCAGGCTGAAGAACACTCAAGATACAGTTCTTCCATCCGAATAGCCTTTCCCCAGCTGCGCTTGCAGGCATTCCTCTCCCTGGCCCTCAGTCTCTGCCCAAAGGCACTCGGCTCTCTCTCTCTGTGGGCAGGGCTCTCTCTCTCTGTGGGCAGGGAAGCCCACCTAACCGTCTCCTGTTGCTAGGTCTCTGCTGCTGTTCCCTCCTCCCTTGGTGGTGGGCTCCTCCCCTCTGCTCTGGAATTGGCTCTCTTTTAAGGCAAAACTGACCAATCCCCTTGGTAGGCCACAATTACCCTATCACACAGTCACCTGGGTGGGAGTTACAAGACCACGGCTGGAAAGGCCACATGCAAAAGTAATTAATCGAATCGCAGACCTAGGGGAAGAGCATTCCAGGCAGAGGGAAGAGCAAGTTTAAAGGCCCTGGGGTATGTTCAAGGCACAGGAAAGATGCCAGTGTAGTTGTAGAGGAATAAGCAAGGTGGAAGTGGTGTGAGAGGTAGGCAGTAGCCAGTCATGGATGGCCTTATAGGTCTTGGCGAGGAATGTGTGCAGAGAAGTGACATGATGTGGTTTAGGTTTTTAAAAGATCATTCTGGCTGCTCAATGGATAGTAGGTGTTATTATTGATGTTTTTCCTTTTTAAAGAAGAACTTCAGAAATGTGCCCCAAAATATATGTTGTGATGTCTTACTTGGGACAGATTCTTAGCTCCATTATATGACTCTTCACAGAGCCAAAAATACTTGTTTTATTTTAAGGAATTTCTACCATGTACACTTCAGAAAATGGGCTAAGAAGTGTTCCCCAGACAAGTTTCTTACTGTCTTTCTCCTTAATTCATTTTGTATTTCTGGAAATCTTCTCTTTCTTTACCTAAGTTCTATTCAAATTACCTATATTGTAGAACTGATATTAATGTTTTGTGTTCCACCACCACTGCCCCTTTTTGGCCTGCAGACCCTGAAGGATAAGTTAGTACAAGAGAAGAAACTTTCCAACATGTACCAAGAGCAGTGCATTGCGCTAGAAGAAGAAGTTGCTCGAATTCGTGAGGAAGAATGCGTGAGGAGAGAGATCTTCAAGGTACAAAGTTCTGTGCCCCTTATGATGGAGTGGGAGGTGTAGACAGCTCAGGGGAATGCCTTCCTTATCTTCATAGATGCCTTCCCATTACCCCATATTTAGGATCGCACTAACAAGATGGGGAAGCGTTTACAGGTAATGACAAAACGCTATGAGGCCTTGGAGAACCGACGTATGTTGGAAGTAGAAGGCTTTAAGACAGATATTAAGGCTCTCCGGCAGAAACTTAAAGACTTGGAGCAAATGCTGTATAAGGTAATTGCTGATTCTGACTTACCAAAAAGGGAGGAGGGGTGGAAGTAAGGAAATATAGTCATAAAGACGCCTCAGGAGAAGAAAGTGCTGTTTCCCTGGTATAAGTACTAATCGATCAACTTCCTTTAAGCTTCACTAAAATTCAGTTTAACAGGTACACTAGAGAGGGAAAACAAAAATAGACAGAAATAATTAAAAGACTACATCATTGTACTTCCGTCTAAGCTGAATTTAACAGAAATTATCATCCCTTCCAATTCAAGAAGTAGATTAGAAGAATTATGTCTGTTTTACAAATGAGGAACGTGAGTAATTGAGTATAAAGTAATTTTTCTCAATCAGATGCAGCCTTATTTAGAATCCAAGTTGCCTCAAGAGCCTTCTTAAAGAGATTTAACCAGTCATCCATATATCCTAAATGATCACTGTATTCCAAACAAGGTTAATTACAGAAAAGAGGAGATGCTTTCTTTCCTTCTTTAGCAAATTTACCAATAATGTTTTTTACATTGGTTTCTTTTTTACTCATTATTTGTTGGTTATTGATCACTATTTCAAGGCTCCTCTACTATTGTATGGGAAAACAAAGAACGCCATGCCTTTTCTGCTTAAATTCTATATTTGCTTTTCAATTAGTCACCGAATTTCAACAAACTAAGAACTGAATTCATAAAAAGAGACCAGCAGAGCCTTGTCTTTATGACTGATTTCCCTCTCTGGTATATGCCATAATCATCTCTTCTTTTTTTTCAAACTTCTAGACAACACTTAATGCCCGGGCAGACCAGGACCTTGCCATTCTGTGTGAAGTCCGTGACAGCAATAGACGGGCCCATAAGATACAAGGAGAACTGAAGAACCTTAAGTCCAAAGTGTTTGGTTTGGAGAATGAACTCAGACTCTGTTGATGTCTACTTTTGGAAAAAAAAAAAAAAAATGGCCTTACCTGGAAGAGTTCTGCTTCCTGAAACCTGAGAAGAAGTTCATCTTCCCCTAGAAGTCGTGGACATAATGTTGACTACAGTAGTGGCATCCATTATTGTGAAGACAGGATGAAGAGTCAGGGACAATTAAGAAAGCTTTTCTTGCTCTCTAAACGGTCCTGTTAACATTTTCTTTTTTTTTGCTCTAGACTATAACCTGATTTACTTATTTTCCCATATTATTTATCTCACTTAATGTTGACAGTTTTGGTTTTGTTTTGTTTTTTTTTTAAAGATGACGATAAAAACTTAGGAAGAGAGTACTTTTCTATGAGGCTGGCTGGGTGTCAGTGGGAGGGACACCTTCCCTGAGGTTATCTTTCCCCAAGGCAGAGGGAAAGGCAGCAAATCACAACTTGTCAAATTTGAATAGGTAGTAATTCTGCTATTTAACTTTATTTAGTAGTGCGCGGTAGGGCCGGAATTACCTTTTTGGGACACCCAGTCTCATAAAGTTTCACCAGAGGGCGCTAGAGACCCCTACTCGCAAGCAAAATTTCTATCTAGAAATACAGTAAAACCTGAGAGAGCTGAAACCTGTGTCAGGCAGAAACCTGTCGGAGAAGGAAAACTCAAGTAGTTTCCACTAAAACGAGCAATAGAAAAGTGGTAAGACTGCACCCTGTCAAAGGCGGAAAATTAAATTAACTGTTTTTCAATAAAATATGTAATTGGAAGTATTTGCGTTTTCTATAATTTCTTGTTAAAACCACATATATATTTTCTTAATGACTCTTTTATCCCAGTTTACTTACTTGTTCCATGGTCTGTGCAGTTCTGTACAAGTGTAAACTTTTTCCTAAACGATTCCGTTGAAATCATCTGGTGTTGAAGGTAGCAAGGATCCTACAAAGGTGATGACACTGACACCTTGTCCTTTATGTAACTCTCTAAATGTTTGCTTTAGGCAAATTGCTGTGCGTTTGGGGGCAAAATAATTGTGTGTGTACCTGGACAGCCTCTGGAAAGTAAGTGGTGTTAGTACAGCATCATTCTGGTTTACCTAGGACAAAGGAAAGAACTCATGTTTTCATATCTTTTTTTTTTCATTTTTTTATTTGTGTTTCTGATATAGGGAGAGTAGTGACTGAACTACCAGTAGGAGATGTTACCTTTTTTTAAAAGCCTATAATAGTGTATCAGGTTTTTCTCACTGTTGAATTGGGGTGGAAGCTTCCAGAGAGATTAGTCCCAGGCCTTAGGGGAATTTCCGTAAGTGGATGGTTCCTCCTTTTGCCCTCATACTTAGGGATTTGGCTTTTCTTGACTCCTGCTTTTTTGGTGCTGGCAAAACAAAAAGCCTTATTAAATCACAGCATTTCAGAGTGAGAAGGAACCTTAGAGATCGTGTAGCCCGTTTTATATATGACTCAGACCTACAACCATGGACAACAAAAATCAGTTGATAAAGTTTCCAACACCCTGACCTCAATTCCAATCACATATTTGCAAATCATATATCTAAGAAACTTGTGTGCTGAATATATAAAAAACTCTCACAACTCAACAATAAAAAGACAACTAAACGAAAAACCAAACCCATTGTTGTTGGGTTGATGATTCCAACTCAAAGCAAACCTATAGGACAGAGTAGAACTGCCCCATAGGGTTTCCAAGGAGCAGCTGGTGGATTCGAACTGCCGACACTTGATTACAATGGAGCTCTTAACCACTGTGCCACCAGGGCTCCAAAAAGACAAATGACCCATCTTAAAAATGGACAAAGAATCTGAATAGACATTTTTCCAAAGATGATAAAAGGCTAATAAGCACATGAAAAGATGCTCAACATCGTCAGTTTTTAGGGAAATACAAATCAAAACCATAATGAGATAACACTTCACATGCATTAGGATGACTAAATCAAAAAGATAGAATAATAAATGTTCACAAGGATATGGAAAACTAGAAGCCTCATACATTGCTGGTGGGATGTAAAATGGTAAAACTACTTCGGAAAACCGTTCGGTAGTTCCTCAAAAATTTAAACATAGAGTTACTAAATGACCCAGCAATTCCATTCCTAGGTACATACCCAGGAGAATTGAAAACGTATGTTCACATAAAAACTTGTACACGAACAATAGCATCATTTATAATAGCCAGAAATGAAAATCTAAATGTCCATTAACTGATGGATAACCCGTATGTGGTATATTCATACAATGGAATATTATTCAGGCATAAAAGGAATAAAGTACTGATACATGCTACAACATGGATGAACCTTGAAAACATGTAAGCAAAAGAAGCAAGACCCAAAAGGGCACATATAGTATGATTCAATTTTTAAAAATGTCCAGAATAGGTAAATCTATAGAAAGAGAAAGTAGATTAATGCTTGCCAGGGGTGGGGATGGGGAGAAGGAATGGAAAATGATTGCTAATAGATACAGGTTTTCTTTCTGGGGTGATGAAATGTTCTAAAATTACATACTGATGATGGTTACACAACCTTATGAACATACTAAAAATCACTGAATCATAATTTCAAAGGGTGAATTTTATGGTATGTGAATTATATCTCAATAAAAGAAGAAAGCAAGCCTAGGAAATGGCTTCATTGGATGTGGTCACTACTGTTCTGACCTTCATTCAACATTTATTTATTAAGTGCTTTGTATGTACTAGAATTGTGCTAGATCTTAAGTTTATAGAAGATGTTAAAAACAATCTTTGTGCTCCAAAGGTTGCTGGGGAAGATAGACATGGAAAAAACTGAATTTGGCACGGCCATCTAAGATACAACTATTGGTCCCATCCCATCAGGAGCAAAGGAGAATGAAGAAAACCAAAAACACAGGGAAAATATTAGCTCAAAGAACTAAAGGATCACATGAACCACAGCCTCCACCAGCCTGATCCAAGAAGAACTAGATGGTGCCTGGCTACCACCACTGACTGCTCTGACAGGGATCACATCCCAGACAAAGCAGAAGAAAAATGTAAAACAAAATTCAAATTCACAAAAAAAGACCCGACTTACTGATCTGACAGAGACTGGAGGAACCCCCGAGACTATGGCCCCTGGACACCCTGCTGACTCAGAACTGAAGCCATTCCAAAGTCCACCTTTCAGCCAAAGATTAGACAGGCCTATAAAACAAACAATAACACATGAAGAACGTGCTTCTTAGTTCAAATATATGAGACCAAATAGGCAACTCCTGCCCAAAAGCAAGGCCAAAAGGCAGGAAGGGAGAGGAAAACTGGATAAATGGACACAGAGCGGAAAGGAGGAGAGTGCTATCAGACTGCGGGGATTGCAACCAATGTCACAGAGCAATTTGTGTCTAAATTTTGGAATGAGAAACTAACTTGCACTGTAAACTTTCACCTAAAAACAAAACCAAAAATTCAATTTGGCAATGAAGTAAAGTGCAATGGGTGCACAGAATAGAAAGTAGCAGACAAAATGACTTAAATACGATAATATCTGAGCTGAATCTTAAAAAGGAATTCAGAGTCAGACAAGAGGCTGGGCATTCTAGGTAGAAGGAACAACATATGTGAAGGCATGGAAGCATGAAAGGTTTGGGGAACTTCAAGTGCAGGAGACAAAGTTATATGTAATATAGGACATAACAAATCAAATGACATGTCTTTAAATATAATATGCAAATCTGCTGAAGACTATATGAAGACCTATTGCATCAACTGAAAATTTTTGGATTTAAAAAGGTGGAGGGTAGGAAACAACATAATAATCAAAATCTGAAATATTTAGTAATGTCAGTTCTTGCATGAAAAATCAGAATTTGAAATGAAAACTCACTTTCTTCAAAATTAGGGGTGGGAGGAAACATCATGCAATAATAAATACATAAAATGCTTATTTCCTAGGAAATCCTTATACTGTAGGTCAGGATAAGTGACTGACACCAGAATTAATTGCAGTATCTGCAAAAACCAAAATAAAGAATGGCACAAAAGATCTTTTGAAAAGAACCACCAATGTCATCTGCTTTGCCTTTCCTTTTAAAATTTCTCTTTTAGCCTATGCAGAAAAGTAACTCAGTAATAAATGACCTTTTTTTCATGAAATTTACGTGATTTTTCACAATAGCAACATAGCCTCTGATTATGTGGCTGTAGTCATAAAGCCTCTATGTTACTTTTGGTTCAGGCTTTTGACTCTTACTGCCCTCTCCATTCACATTGCACTAGTTCAGTGATTTACATTTGCAACATGGCAGATGGTACTGTCATTGAAAAACATTTATGAGTAGAATGGACAGGACTTTGTGATGGATAAGATGTGAGGATAAGGGAAGCGTTAACGATAGTTCTGTATCTGCAGAGTTTCTAGCTTGAGGAACCATGTGTGTAGTGATGCCATTAACCGAGATTCAGCATGTATGAGAAGCAGCAAGTTTGGATATGTCCAGTAAGTTTGGGAATAGGAATATGGAGGTCAGAAGAGAAGTTAGTATTGAAGATAGAGATTTGGAATTATTAGCATATAGAAGATAATTGAATCTAAACCACGGAAGTGGATGAGATCAGAGAGGGAAAGCATATATAAAAAGAGAAGATAGCCAAAGAGGGGAAACCTAATGATCAGAGGAGCGGTTAGCCAGTAATGGAAGCTGAAAAGGAATGGTCTGAATAACAAGATAATCGTGTTCTGGAAACCCAGGAGAATGAGAGTTTCAGGAAGTAAGAGGTTGACAGCAGTGTCAAATGCTGCAGAAAAGACAGGTAAACTAGGATTGAGATTAGACCAATGGGTTGAATTAATTTCCATAGCAGGTGAATTCAGAACAATTTCAGTGAAGCAGAAATCGAAGTTTATAGTAGATTGAGGGATGAGGGAAGGAGGAAGATGGGAAGTATTTTTAAACTGGATAAAACAAGGGAAAGGTTTGATGATTTTAGGCTGGGGAAGACTTGATCATATCGGTAGGCTGAAAAGAAAAGGCCAGAGAAAGAGATTGAAGATAAAGGAATGAGG